CTAATGGAACTCGGTCATCTCTCAGGCTTGAGGCCCTCTCCAAAGCAGATGGACTCTGGAACAGCGAAATGAAAGAAATACTTGCAGTTGAAGCATCTACCCGTCGTGTTTATGCAGTCTGGGAGCACAGTGGGAAGAACTATGCACGGTATACACCTCTTTTCACAACAACGGGGGCTCAGAAATGCAAAGCAACCTTAGAGCTGACTCCTTGGGGCGTATCAGCAGATCTTCAGATTCAAGCCACTCAGCCAAACTCTTTCCTGGACACAGCCTCAGTTAATCAAGTTGTTGTAGTGAAGATCAGTACTGCAAACCAGAAAGTTGGCTGGAAGGGTGAAGGCCAAATTCAGTCATTATCTCTCAGTTATGATATGCAGTTATCAAATGACAAATCAAAGGCAAAGTTTGATCTTTATGGATCTTTGGAAGGATACATGGACTTCCTCAAAAATATAAAGTGTCCCATTACTGAGAAGAGCTTATGGGATATCTTGAAGTTGGATGTCACTACCAGTGCTGACAGAAAACAGTACTTAAATGGTTCAGCATCCCTCGTGTACACAAAGAGTGATGATGGTTACTTTTTCCCCATACCTGTAAATAAGCTGACCGATGGCTTCACTTTCAGTATTCCTGAATTACATCTAAAGGCTCCAAGCCCTGTTCTCAGCACTCCAGAGTTCAGACTTCCTTTCACCACTCTCCAGGTCCCAGCGTACACTGTTGACTTGCGCAACGTAAAAATTCCACAGACACTGAACACAATGCCATTTGATGTCAATTTACCCACACTGCCAAAACTAAGATTCCCCAAAGTGGATGTAGGAGCCAATTATATTACATTAGAAGAATATAAAATACCGTATTTTGAGGTGACAATACCTGAATACCAAATCACTGTGTCTCAGTTCACTCTTCCAAAGAGTGTTTCTCTTGGCAGTTTCCAAGTAGATCTGGATGAAGTAGCTAATAAGATTGCAGATTTTGATCTGCCTACAATTACAATTCCTGAACAGAAAATTGAGATCCCACCTCTCAAAATATCCTTACCTGCTGGAATTTACATCCCGTCATTTGGTGCCTTGACTGGATCTTTCAAAGTTGCCTCGCCTTTGTACAATGTCACCTGGAGAGCAGACTTCACAAACAAAAAGGACTCTTTCGAACAGTCCATTGACTCTACATGCAGCTCAACATTGCAGTTCCTGGAATATGACTTGAATGGTAAGACGTTAAAATTCTATATGCCTTAATTTGGAGGGAAATACTGTATACTGGGTTTTTTCAGATTTTTTTTCCCAGTACTTTGCGTATGAAGGTGTTGCTGTCTATTTAGCACTGATGTTAGATTGTACTTCTTTTATCATCAGCAGCATTTTTTCATAAATTATTATCAGAGTCTCAGTCAGTCACCCTGAAGTCTAATGCCTAGATACATGTATAATCAATGGCATACTGTGAAAAAAATGGGAAAGATCTCTTTTCTGTGTAGCAGTTTCTTACTTTAATTTGTGAACAGCATAATATTCCCCCATTCCACTTACAATAATACATGTGGAGGAGAGAAGGCAAGCTGACTGTTTATCTGATTCAGTTCAGATAAAGAAATACCTATCTTTTTCCTTAGGAACTAAGCATATTTGATTTCAAAATTATCTAAACTCAGAAAACTCTGGAGTCCTGTATAACATTGACTTCTAGACTTTATAGTAATACTAAAAATATACATCAGAATAAAATTCTAAACTGTCAAGAAATTAGAATCCCCATTTATGATCTGCATGAATGCAAATTTTTATATCCATATTGTTCTACATATAGAGAAAATTTGAATTTT